TAATAATGATTGTGTGACATGAGGTCAAATCTAACTCTTTTCAGGGATTTCTAGGTAGAGAGTACTCAGAAGTGGTTTACCATTTTCTTCTTCTGGGGTGCTCTGGGACTGTGCAACTTGCCCAAGGCCACACAGGCTAGCTCTTCTGAGATCCACAGTGAGAAATTGAATTCCCAACCTTTGACTCCATAACCAGGTACCTAACTCACTGAGATGTCAAGCCAGCTCCTCATAAGCTCCTCATACGTATGTTCATTAATGAGGACTTTAATTATAGATTAATTTGTGGTTGATTTAATGGTGGCTTTTTTACATCTCCTGGTCTCACAGTACTAAAGTGTTTGCCATCCCATTTGATGGATGCTAGAAATATAGAAGGGTGTTTTACAGACACGATCCATGCTTTTTCAGTGAGCTGGCAAACCCACTCTGCAAACAGATTCCTCCTCCCCTCATATAGCAGAAGAAGCTATTTAACTGCCTTGCTCATTTCATGTCATGCTTTAGTGATCAGAGTTTCCTAAATATTTAACAAACGTAAAAATGAACAACCTGAGCACAGCTTGTTCTTCACTCAAATACCAGGTTGCTTAAAGTGAGGAGCCAGGGCAGATCTGAGGATTTAGTAAGGCCAGCTGATTTCTCCGAAGTTGTCTGGTGTGTCATCTCACAAGCACTAGACTAGGAGCTCTGGCCAAAATGTAAGTACTCTCTGGCAAGCAAGTATAGTATGTAGATAGTCAGGATGAAGGTTGCAACTCTTTCTTGTGCCAAGAAGTTACTGACTCAAAAAGGGCTTTGAACATTCTCTCCTTAAAAAAAGGACTCCAGGCTATACCTTTCAGGGCTTGAAAAGGTTGGCATTTGGACAGAGGTGGGGCTGCTACTCCCATAATCCACCTCTTTGATGCACACATTAACATGGTCAAGTTGTGTTGAGTGTTTTGGAGAAGTAGAAAGTAATTTCATCAGGAAGCTTACAGCCTATTAGGCTCTAAGACAGAATAGTTAAAACTGAGATGCCAGGCTATGATGCATCCACTCTTTTTGGGAATTAATGGTTGCATCAACAAAAGAGTATCGACAGTGATAGGGCAAAGTAATTTTTGAAGGCTGGCAACTGGGCAGCCACAATTGTGGAAGGTGAAAATGACAGAAGGTCTTTCACAGAGAACAGCAGTGACACTTTAGCTAATTCTTGTTAGCATTGCACAGGATTTGGCAAAGATAAACCCCTTATGAATCTTTACATGTTTAACAGAAAGTCTGACTGAATCATATTTATACCTTGAAAATCCTGTAAGACAATAGAAAAGAAAACAAGAGATAGTACTGGAATATGAGACTTCCAGGTTGGAAGGCAATCAGCACAGATGCAAAAGAAATACTCCATGCTGTGTGACATGGAACATATAATGTGGGATATATAAATCAGCTCAAAATCATTTCAAAAGAAATGGGCATTTTAAAACTGTAATACTTGGGGTGACCTAGGCAAAGTATACTGGAGTAGGATGTATTCAATCCAATAGTTACACAGAATGTTTTACTCAGTAAATATCAACATTGATCCCACACCAAGACAGGATGTAGGATCATGGGCACCTGGAATGCAAAAGTTGGAAACAAAGAACCAACATTCATTGGAGAATTTAGCCTAGAAGTCAGACATGAAGCGGGAGAATGACTTATATAATTCTGTGAAACTAACAATTTCCTTATCACGCCTATATGCTTCAGGCTACCTGACAAGTGATTGGACTTGTGCACTTAATGTGATGGCCAATATAGAAACTAATCAGACCATGTAATGAGAAGCAGAATGTGGACTAACTATATTCCTTCTATCAGAACAACACCAGAAGTGGACTCTGGTACAGACCATGACATGTTAGTACAAAAATCAGAGTAAAGCTATGGTAGAACACTACAGTCATCACAGAGCCCAAATATAAACACCATTCCTAAAAATTTCAAGGACCTTATAAGGAACAGATTTGCATTTCTAAACTCAATTGACTATGAACTAGAAGGATAATAATATGAAGAAGAACACAAAAACAGCATTACTGTGGACTAAAGAAAGACAAAGCAAAGTTAAAAAGCAAAGTGTGCTGCTTGTATACCACCTCATAGCACTTAAAGCACTCTCTCAGTGGTCTACAAATGTAATTATGCAGGTTACACATTGCCGCCGCCACCCCAGCAAGCTGGGTACTGAATTTACCGATCTCAGAAGGATGGAAAGCTGAATGAACCTCAAGCTAGCTACCTGGAATTGAACCCAGGTTGTGAGCAGAGTTTTGATTGCAGTACTGTGGTTTAGCCACTGTGCCACGAGGCCTCAATGGATGACTGAAGAAATTATTCAAAATTGTTGACCATATTTCTAACAACAGTTAAAATTGTTACAAATGTGGTCAAATTAGGGTTACATAAGGAGGGTCAGAATTCTAAATACTGTACAACTTTTTGGTGGTTTGCATTTTGCACATAAGAATAAAGAAAATTCTCATTCTGATAATTGTGAAGAAACTGAAATTGACAAAAAAGAAGGAAAATAAGAGATTTTCTCCGTAAGATCCAAGAAATCAACATTTAGATTACAGATGCTACAAGATCAATTGGGATATATTATCTGATCTCTGTATAATAAAGGGAAACAATATATTGTAGAAATCAAGAAAAGAGGTATGAGGATGACAGATTCTTCAAAGAAGCATCCTTTAAAGAAGAGCATAGCAGCTCTGAAAGTGAAGCAACAGAAAGTAATAAAAAGTAGTAAACCAGCAGGAATAGATGGTATAACAATAGAGCCATTTAGAGCTATAGAGACTGACTCTTACCAAAATCCTAATAAGAATATCCCAGAATAGTAAACCCATTGAATCAATGTGGATTTATGAGTCAGCTTCTCCATAGATTCCATTCATTCAAAAGGTAACTGCAATTAGAGTAGGCCCATTGGAATTAACAGAACTCATGGAGGAGCTGACTCACCAGATCCCCATGAATTCAACTGGACCTGCTCTAGTGTTACTCTCTACGCTAAGCAAAAAGATTGTATTGTCCACAAACTTGATGAATTCAATATGTCTTCCAATCTCCCAAAAAAATGAGATGCCAAAAATGTCAGTGTCTATAGCACCACTGCATTAATTTCTCATGCAAGCAATGCAGTCCTTAAGACACTCTGAAAAAGGTGAGACTGTCATAGGCTTCCCACATGCGGTTTCCTGCACATGAGCAAAACCCCAATTTTCATGTTCTGTTTCAAATGCACACACACACACACACACACAAATCCTGAAACTGGAAGCTGTCAGTTCACACCTGATTCTTAAAACCACCTTCTCTCTTCTTTAGGAAAACAAGGACCAGGGTACCTTGTTTTAAGTGAGAACCATGCCTTTTAGAGGCTTTCAGAGGTAGAATTACGCCAGCTTGGGTCCTTTTTAAGGAGAAAGATGATATGAAGATATTTTAAATAAATAATACATTTAATAATAAATAACAAATAAATATTCTCCCTTTTTAAATTATTGGTTTGGGGCCTTCTTCAGTGGCTGCAAAAGGCCATGTATTGTGTTATATTCCGCCAATGTACACCATGAACAGTAATGCTGCTTTCTTACAATTGAATCATCTGATTGATTGATAATATTTTACCCCAGTTTTCTCCGCAAAAGGACCCAGATACAGATATATCTATCGATATATATGTCTCTCAATACAGACAGAGAGAGAGAGAAAGAGAGACAGAGCTACAACAATGATGATGGTGATAAGGAGGAGGATGGCAGTTATAAGAATAGCTGTGCTAGACTTGACCAAAAGGCTATAGGGTTTTGGACTATATTGCCACAGTGGCTAATGAGATGTACTTAGGAAGCCTACAAGCAGAACATGAGGACAGTAATTTTTTCCATTGTTGTACACCAACAGCTGGTATTCTAAATGCTGTCTCCAGTGCTAGCAGTAACATGTCAGTAACCATCATGACAGTAGACATTATTATTATTGTTATTGTTATTGTTATTGTTGTTGTTGTTGTTGTTATTATTATTATTAGTAGTAGTAGTAGTAGTAGTAATATTAGTATTAGTATTAGTATTAGTAGTATTAGTAGTAGTAGTAGTAGTAGTAGTAGTAGTAGTAGTTGTTGTTGTTGTTGTTGTATTAGGGTTATCATTATCATTATCATCATCATCATCATCATCATCATCGTCATCATCATCATCATCATCATCATCATCATCATCATCTTACTTTCTCTCTGGCTTTAATATTTACTGTCTTGAAGACTAAGGACCAACATGTTTAACCTGTCAAAGAGCATCTTCCTCTTATAATATTGAGCACCAGGTGCCAAATTGTTAATCTGAAATGAAACTTTCTAGGCTACAGGAACACATTTTCTCTCACATACCAGTGTCTCTTGGCTTACTTTATCTGGGCTAAATCTGTGGCATAAGCGTCCTTCAGAAGTAGATATTCTGTAACTCGTTTAAACTTCACTCAGGATCCTGGCATTCAACAAAGATAAATAAATAGTCAATCTCTCTCAGTTTTTTTCCTCTGTAGTAAATCATTTTCACTCCACCTTATGCCCTTCAGATATAATAAGACTTTCTTTTGTTGTTTTTTAATTTTTTGTACCATAGCGATAGAGAGAGCAAGCCAGTTGCTGATATGGTTTAAACTAAGTAATTAAAATGAAGTAATCTCACCACACTGATCTAGGTCAGTAAGATGAGTATGCTCAGTGAATTGTTGTTGCATTATATTTGCAATAGCAGGTATTTGGAAAAGTGTAATACCCTGGGTTTAAACTATTATTCCTGCCTGTTTTCCCCTCTCAGGTACTCACATATGTTCCCACACATTTTTGGCAGGTGCTAAAACTACAAGCAGTATCTGTCAGCAGCACAATTTTGCATGTTTGATCCCCACTGAACCACAGAATGGTGGTTGTGACAGTCAGCAAAATGGCCACTTACCTATGCCTCAAAAGACCACATTTGCCCAGAGATCCTCGGTGTACCTGGGCAGCAAGTGCACTGGAAACTTTGAGGTTGTTTACAGCAACAGCGTAGCTTTGAATCATTCCCATCTCTCATTTGTATAAACTTGCCAGCGTGACTGGCCTTCCAGATTTGCTAATGTTCTATATTTGTATCGTGCTAACATGATCTCCGGTTTGAACACAGCCACAGGCATGATAGAATGTCAACACTACAAGGCTCCGCTCGGAGAAAAGAACAGCTCTTTTAATAGGATAAGCATCCTACTGCTGCTCCTGCAAGCCTGATAAAGACAACATTGCTTTGACCTATAACCTGAACTTCGATTAAAAGCATACAGAAGTACTAGAGTGCTTTTCTGGAAGAAAAAAGAAGATAAGGTTTTTGTTTGAGAATTGGCTTTATATGTTTCTATATTGAAAGACCCAGTCATAAAAGAAGGGGTTATAAAGACAAGAGAGACCTTCGCCTAGCAGCTGGCTTGCTGACTGCAGAGCCAAAAACTCCAATCTCACACCACTCCAGGTGGGCAAGGGTGCAATATTTCAAGAGAAAGGTGTTGCTGCCCTTCTGACCTTGGCAAGTTCAGCTCTTCTTGATTTAGTGTTTAAGATGACTCTCAAAGGAACAGATTCAACTTTTTCTTTCCTGGCAGACCTTCTTCTGCAGGACAGCCACTTTGAAGTGGGTGTGGAGTAGTTGCGCAAGGAATTTGCCATGCTCAAGTAAACACTTTGCAAAGGCTGCAGACACTAGGCAATCTGGAAGGGCTTCCACTCTCATTTGATTATGTGCCAACTCTCCATGATTTCAGCATGTGTTAATGGGAGAAATACAAAAGTGTTTGCTTTTCCCATCCCTCTGTGCAGGGTAAGGCTTCATCTCTAAATTTCCGCCTCTTATTCAAGGTGCAATCAGATGCAATTTCTCTTGCTTTTTGGACCACTTCTGGTGCTTTCAGGTTCAATCTGTTTAGTGGCAACTCCGTGACATACAAGCAATTACGAACCAGCCCAACCCTTTTCCATGGTCATCAACACTTTTTTGGACCATTTTGTTTGTTTGTTTCTGATGGGTTTTTGTTTTCATTTTTAGGCTTGCCTTTTTAAAAAGCAATCCGTTTCCTGCATTGAACCAAAGACGCACTGGTAGGTGTTTCATGTCATTTGGATAGCCAGCTAATTCAGTGTCATGCTACTTCCCAATGAATTACAGTGCTGTGCCATATCCCCATAATTTCTTTTTTTAAAAAAGCCCAGTTTCTCTCCACTACCTCACAAAGGGGGAAACCAGAAAATTTGCAAAAAAGGGTCAATTCCTCCTCTTTTTTCCATTTTTTTTAAAATGCAGCACTATGTCACTTGGGCAGCAAGCCAATTCAGTACTATGCTAATTCCCAACAAATTAAAGTGTTATGCCACATCTCAATAAAAGTTTTTAAAATCCAGTTTTTCTCCAGTCTCCTGCAGAGGGGTAGACAAGAGAGGATGCAGAAGAAAGCCTCTCTCTCATTTTCTTAGAATCCAACATTATGTTATTTTGGTGGCATGCCAATTCAGTGCAATGCAACCTCTAAGGCCTCCACTTCTCTGCAGAGGGGGAGATAGGAGAGGGGCATAGAGTTGCTTTGAAGTGCAGTGTAGTTTCTTGTCTCAAAGCCACTCTATGCTTGCATGTGAACAAAAGGATTGCTCTACATAGCATACTGCATCTTAAGGCAACTCTATTTAGCCTTATCTAGCCTGAGGTAACTTGACTGTCTCCACTTCCTAAAGCATTGGCCTCTATAGGTCAAACCAGACATATGCCATTAACACTGCCATGAATGTGCTATTTTAATAAAAGTAAATAGCAGGCATGCCAACTCTAATCCAAATTGGGGTCCTGGTATGAAGCAAAAGGGAGACCCCCTCTGCCAGTACTGATTGAGTGCCATATGTCTGTCATTTGCATTGTTCTCATCGCAAATGTCAGGTGGGAGAATTGATCAATACTGGAATAGCAGTGAATAACATAGAGTTTAAAAAAAAACCCTGCCTCAATAGCAGGAATCTGATCCTGATCAGAGCTACTAGTACTACCATTTATTTCCTAAGAACCATTCACACAATTGCTACCATAGTTAATAGCATTTCATTTAGTTAATTATCCCTCTCACATTTACCACAGAAATCAGGACAGCTCCTCATTTTAGTAGAATTCATTGTGCTATCAAATAATGACCATCCTCCATCCCTCCTTCACAGCAAAGGTATCTACTGGTGCAGGACAGGGACTCCCATTATATGATGGCTACACTGCAGAGTGTAGCTATATGGCTGCCACCATGATGGTGAGAAACTATGAAGATGGCCTAACACACACACACTCCAAAAGAAAGTCAGCAGCACGTCTCAGAGGTCCAGCTGCACCCAAGAATAAGACTGTAGGTAGCTACTTTTGGACACCTGGCAGTGATCATAGGCTATTTGAGGAAGAAGGGTGGTGTGGAGTGACCCAAATAAAAGCAGCATTTATATGCAGAAAAGGAGGAGACCAGGAAGCTCAGCTGGAAAGAGAGATATAGAGATACACACATACCCCAGGGAATAGGGCATTTGAAAGCCCGTCTTTTTAAGGCATTTCAATGCCCCAAAGCTTGGGGATGTGTTGGGGACTAACTAGGTCTGCTGGCAACCAAATTACCCAGCTTGGTGAAGTATGAAGCCACAAAATGCAAATGTCTACCTTGATCAGGAGAGTCATTGGTAGGAGCTGCGTAAGCCAGGAGTATGGATTTTCTAACTATATTTTATGTACAGTATGCCCCTGCCAGGAGAACTTCCACTTAGCCTTTTGCTGGTTCTGGAACTAGAGGCCTGAGATCTTGTGCTGATGAAAGGAAGGGATTTCTGTTTGTTTTAGCTGAAGGCTGAGCCTTGGAGAAAGGCAGTGTACTCACTATGTCAACAAAGATGGGCCAGTAATATCTGAAACATCAGGAGCTTGGTGACACACCAAATACTGGAGATGCCAGTTCCCACCCTAAATTCAGAACAGTTCAATAGACATCTCCACTCCACCATTGCCAAAGTCCTTTGGAAGATGTGGCAAAAATATAAAACTGACAAGAAGTTTCATTCTTTGAGAAGAATCTTTAAAAGATGACAGTATTAGTAGTAAAATATCTGGATATAACCACATCAATACTATAATCAAAGACATTTTCCTGAAACATATCTTTATTTGTTTGTTTGTTTGTTTGTTTGTTTGTTTGTTTGTTTGTTTGTTTGTTTGTTTGTTTGATTGATTGATTGAGTGATTGATTGATTGATTGATTGATTGATTGATTGATTGATTGATTGATTGATTGATATTCCGCCCATCTGGTCCGGTCGACCACTCTGAGCGGCTTCCAATAAAAAAGTATACAATAAACCATAAAGATTTTACAGACAGACTGTGACACATGCAGTAATAAAACAAATAATAAATGAAAGGAAAAAGAAATTAAGTATTGACAGGAGGGAAGGCCTGAACGTACAACCATGTTTTTAGTTGGCTCTTAAAAGTGCCCAGCGTAGGGGCCGCACGAATCGCAGAGGAAGGTTATTCCAGAGGCGAGGAGCCACCGCCGAGAAGGCCCAATTTCGTGTCCTTTCCTTCCGGGCCTCCCTTGTCGTTAGGCTCCTCAGCCTCACCTCCTGGCTCATGCGGGTGATCCGGGTAGATCTAGGTGGGAGCAGGCGTTCTGCCAAGTATCGAGGTCCTAAACCATTTAGGGCCTTATATGTAAGCATTAACACTTTGAAGTCAATGCGGAAATGGATGGGCAGCCAGTGCAGCATGGCCAGAGTAGGAGAGATATGTTGGTATTTTCTCAGTCCAGTGAGGAGTCTGGCTGTCGCATTCTGCACCACCTGAAGTTTCCACATCAGCTTCAAAGGGAGCCCCACGTAGAGCGCGTTACAGTAGTCTACTCTAGAGATTATGAGCGCATGTACTAAGGTAGTGAGCGCCCCCATGTCAAGGTAAGGACACAGCCAGGCAATCTGCCAAAGGTGGAAAAAGGCGGTGCAGACAACTGATGCCACCTGCATTTCCATGGTGAGTGTCAGGTCCAGGTGTACCCCCAGGCTGCGGACCTCACTCTTCACGGCCAGGGTCAACCCCCCAAACAAGAGAGAGTCACCCAAGCCGCCAGCGACAGGAGCACCCTCCCTCAGGACTTCCGTCTTATCTGGGTTCAGCCACAGCCCGATCTCCTGCATCCATTGCAGTACGGCCTCCAGGCAGCGTTGGAGGGACAGGACGCCATCATCTGCAGTTGGTGCAAAGGAGATGTAGAGCTGGGTGTCATCAGCATATTGATGACACAATGCTCCACACCCCCTGATGACCCCACCCAACGGCCTCATATAGAGGTTAAACAGCATTGGGGAGATAGTCGACCCCTGTGGAACCCCACATTTGAGGCTCCACAGGGCCGAGACACTCTCCCCAAGCTGCACTCTCTGGGGGCGGTCCTCCAAGAAGGAGCGGAACCAGGCCAGAGCCAAGCCACCGATACCCAACTCGGAGAGCCTCCCCAGGAGGATACCATGGTCAACGGTATCGAAGGCCGCCGAGATGTCGAGGAGGACCAAAAGAGATGTTTTACCCCTGTCGGCCTCCCTCAACAAGTCATTGTACAGGGCGACTAATGCCGTCTCTGTACCGTGGCACGGCCTGAAGCCCAACTGAAATGGATCCAGGGCATCTGTTTCATTCAAATGTGCCTGAAGCTGGACAGCCACAACCCTCTCGACCACTTTGCTCATGAAAGAAACGTTGGCGATGGGCCTATAATTGCCAATTTTGTCCTCCGCCAAACTAGGTCTCTTTCTTATGGGCCTAATGAGTGTCTCCTTGAGGGCAGAAGGAAACCTGCCCTCAAGGAAAGACCCATTTATTATTGCAGTGGCCCACTCTGTTGTTATCGGCCTGGCTGGTTTGATTAGCCAGGCCGGGCTGCTTTGATTAGCCAGGCCGGGCAAGGGTCCAAAGAGGAGGTGGTGGCTCAACAGCAATCAAGCACCCTGGCCACAGAATCAGGCG